TATTCCTGAGTGCAGTGTGCACAAAGTGCAGAATTTCCCAAATTCCTTCGGTAGAGGAAGAAGGTAAATTGACTGTTGATAACACTGCAAGATGCATAACCCTCTGCCAGGAAAGCTTACTAGAGAGATATCTCTATTCTCCCACACAGGATTGTTTTACAATTATTTACCTTTACATTTAATAATTTTAAGAAGCATTTGGATTGAAGTGCACTTAGATTACTCCACTATGGATAAAAAATAGAGGAATTTACTTTATTAATACTCTACTGTATCTTTATCCTGATGTAAAGGCATCCACTGGAGAGGATGAAATCACACAGTCACAGAATGATTAAGGTTGGAAAAGACCTCTGAGATCATTAAGCCTAACCTATGACCTAACACCACCTTGTCAACTAGACCAGAGCACTAAGTGTCACGTCCAGTCTTGTATTAAACACCTCCAGGGATGGTGACTCCACCACCTCCCTGGGCAACCAGTTCCAAACTCTAAATGCAGAGTATTTATCCATGTACAGTTTTCTGAACACCCCAAAGCTCATACACTGACAAGTGCTTGGGAATGAGTAGAAACTGAAAAAGGTTTCAACTCTTCAGCACAACTGACCATCTCACCATGACTGTGTAGGTCTAATCCACCATCACATCTAAGTTCATGCACAACCTCTTCACTGTCATTTCACTCAGAGCCAGGAAGTTATAGAATTCACCACATGAAAACACGTATTTTGTTATTCTAAATATTCATATTACTGAATGATAAATCTGATATTCCAAGAAAATTATTAACAAATCCCAATTAATAATCACATGCTCTATGTACTTTCAGAAGAAAGAACGAGATCTATTAATAGGAAAAAGAGTGATTCTAAATTTGAAGACAGAAATAATTGGTTCTGATGCAATTGTTTCCCTGGCAGTAGTGTTAAGCTATTAAAGAGTAGATTGTATGACAGCAGCTTGCAAATTACATTGCAAAAAAAAAATAAAAAAGAACACAGGGCAATGTGAAACAGAATAAGAAGTGACAAGTGTTAACCTACAAAGGAACTTTGTGACATTGCCAAGGTAGTAAGAATAGTAAGGCAGGAACATTCTGTTTTCATTTAGGATGCATCTGCAAACATGATGGGACAGATTAATCAAACCAGGTAAGCAAGAAGGAAATTACAGCTTCTTATCCCACACTGAGGTGCATAGGAATAGTACTGCTGTCTTCCCTTTGGATTTGCTACCACAGAGAACAGCATTATAGAATACAGTTTACACGTTAAGTTTGCTACACAAATAAGTATGCCTTGGGTTTCAGGTAGACTGAGGTCCTTCAAGACCCAGTGAGGTTATGGCAGCTACAGTTACATGCTTCTCTATACATAGTAGTCCTGCTAATTACTAGGGTGGTCCTTTGACTAGCTTTCACCCAAGAAAACTAGTTTAAGTAATTTGCTCCAAATAATACTATTGCTCTTCCTACTCAACTGAATGAAATTACATACACTTCTCAGACAACAGGACAGTCTCTTTTGGATGGAAAAGCTATTCAGCATTATACAGTGCCCAGTGATGCCACCAGAAGCTCTTCCATTGACTTCATCAATGAGAGAACTTTGCAATGCAATAGTTACTCTTCTTGAGGGAGACATGAATCACCATCTGACTTTGATCATAACCTGTAAAAGGACAAACTACAAAACTTGTTTAAAGGGTACGATGCATTAGGAAGAGCATTGCCAGCAAGTCAGGGAGGTGATCCTGTCCTTCTACTCAGCCTGGTGAGGCACACCTGGAGTATTGTGTCCAGCTCTGGGCTCCTCAGTACAAGACAGACATGGAGCTCCTGGAGCAGGTCCAGGGAAGGGCAGCAAAGATGATTAAAGGACTGGACCATCTCTGTTGTGAAGAAAGGCTGAGGGACTTGGGCCTGCTCAGCCTCAAGAAGAGATGACTGAGAGGGACGTCATCAATGTCTCTATATTATCTGAAGGGAGGTGTCAGAGGATGGATCAGGTTCTGCTCCATAGTGCCCAGCAACAGGACAAGAGGCTACAGGCAGAAACTGATGCATGGGAAGTTCCACATAAACATGAGGAAGAACTTCTTTCCTGTGCAGTGACCACACACTGCACTGGAACACCCAGAGAAGCTGTGGACTCTCTCTCACTGGAGACATTCCAGAACCATCTGGACACAACCCTGAGCCATGTGCTCTGGGCTGGCCCTGCTTGAGTAGGGAGGTGGGACCAGATGACCCACTGTGTTCCCCACTAACCTTCCCCATGAATGCAGCAGTGCCAGTGAGCAGACATTGGGACTGAGCATGCATTTCATGTGTGATAAAATCTTCCTCTGCAAGGAAGGACAACTAAGAGCTACCCCTGCTGCTGTAACTACAGTTAAGGATATAATGTTGCTGTCTAATGAAGGTCAAACAAGAACTGCATCTGTGTCTACCAAAACCATCACTACTATAAAAGGAATCTTCAGAGACTCAATATCCCAGTGATAGCAAGGCCGTAAGTGTCTTCAAAGAGGGAGAATGCTGATTGCCATGGCCATTAGCTCTTTCTTTAGTTTCAAGCTGGCCTAGAGGGAGGTCCAAAATTCATTTCCTACAACAATACACAAAACTTGACCCATAGCAGTGTCTCACTGTGGGAACCAGAAACTCTGAGAACCGCCAAGCATCTTTATTTTTTGTTTGAGCTAGTTTTCAGCTGCTTTTCCTGATCTGTAAACAAGAGCAAGGACAGCAACCAAACTAGATTGCTTTTGCAAACATTGTCATAGCATGACTTCTTTTTTCTTTCTTTTTTGACAAGATGAAAGGGCTTTTCTGTTTCTCCACCTTCCCCCCTTCTAACAAGAAGGAAACAAGGGGGAAAATTTCCTCTTGACAGGGAAACAAACACTTAAAGAAGAGGCTAATAACATTTCAGATATGGACATATTGCAGACATTTGGCCAAAAAACATGTAACAGAGGATTTATGTGGGATATGTAAGTATACAGCACACCCCAATTTTCAGTGGAATAAATCATGTCTGCTTGAGTTCTAACTACACTAGAGCTAATAAGGACAAAGAGCTATACATTTCTGCTTCTTTGATTTAGAATTCAATCTCAGGTTCAAAGTTCTGATTCTGCTTTATTTTTATGCAAGCATGTAGGTTGAGAAGATCAGAGGACTCTGTTCCATCTCCCCTGCTGCTCCTGTGTTTTATGTAGGTGACAGCTTTTCTGTTATAATTTCATTACAAAAAATAATTGGTGTCGCTTTGCCTAAGATTGACTGTGCATCTCTGTGTTTATATCATCCATAAAATTATGCTACCACTAGAATCATATATATCTGTGAATTAATGGCATGGCTCTTTCTCACTCAAAATCCACGTCGAGGAAATAAGAATTTGCTTTTAAAAAGGCTGCAGGGTCAGTAAATCTAAGCTAAATTTGACAACGGGATAATTTTATTAGGGGAGAAAATTTTATTTGGGAAGAAATTCAAGGCAAATGAGCTCAGTTCATAATGTGCCCAAACAGTAAAGGCACAAACATGCTTCCCATGCTGCCCGAATGGCTGACATAATTTTGCTTCCTTTCCTTTCCTGTTAACTTGAGAATGCAAATTGCTTTGCTGTCAGGGTACATTTGTTCCCACTAATTCAAACACTATAACAAGCCAAAATATTTATTTCCTTTTTTTTTTTCCTCTCTCCAATTTGTGTTTTATCATACTGGGAACATCATCCACGGATTTCATTTACTGTAGCATTATGCAAACAGCCCTTATGGGAAAGTCACCTCTCTGTAATAGGAAAACCATACATAAAGAAGGCTCTTAATGCTTTAGGATGTGTTGCCTCAAAGGACCCCAAAATTCTAATCAGACCAACACGTAAAGGCCAAAATGCATATCCAAAATAGCTGCTCAAATAACCCATCTTGGAAAACTCTTAGCTTTTCAGAAAAGAGACCCAGATTCTTCTTGCTTTTCAGTAGATGGGATGGATACCAGAACACATCTTTTTAATTAGAACTGGATGAGCAAACAGAAGCAAATAGCATATTTGTATAGTTCAATCCTGGTTCTGTTCATAAATATCTTCAAACTGATGCTGCCTCACATTCAGCTGGTTATCTAATAAAACTGATCAAACTGTTTTCCTTTGAAAGATGTTCCTGATGGTAACTGGGTTCTAGTCAATTGATCATTTGTGTGTAAAGCATTTCTGCTCCTATAAGAAATAAAATGAGAGTCCAGCTAAAAAATACAATTACTGTTTTCCCTGAAAATTCAGTTTGACTTTCTTCAGTCAACATTTTCCAATTAGAACTGTTTGTGCCACTTAAGAGGCTAAAATTGGCTTCTGCCAACTCCTTTGTTAAAGTCTGAAGAACCCCAATGACTCACCCCTTAGAGCAGTGGATATGAGTCCAGATTCACTCATGTCAAGTGCTGAAGTTCAGAGCCTATTTGCCATCTGGTCCTTCCATGTGAGCTGCTGTATCCATAGCCTATCTCTAGCAACACTTAAATGAGCTCTACACAAGTGCCTTCTAACTTTGGTATCTTAGTTATGGGCCTAAAATTAGGTGGGATGAATCAGACCATAGAAACTATGTTTATGAGCAAGTCCTTTGTAACTACTTTACTTCTCTTCACCTTCCTTATTCATGTAGCAGCTGCTCATAACACTTAACCTCATTTCTTGGTGTCCTTCTCACACATACCTAGTCTAGTTTTAGCCTCATTTGTATCTGCTCTGGCTTTTATGGAGTCCTTTGGTTTACCACAGTACACACTCAGAATCAAGTCTCTACTTTAGTAAAGGATTTAAACAGACAAATATAAAGAAAACAAACCTGCTGAAGCCCTTCCAGTTTTTAAAATGCAGTCAAAGATAAGAAACCAAAGCCTTTGCTACCTGACATTTATCATTACAGTAAAAAATATTATGGCTCAATATTATCCATCAAGAAATAAAGTCTACTCTTACCATTCTCACCAGATGTCTTGTCTTTTCCATTTGTAGCTCCGGTTCCTTGTCTCTGTTAGAGGGAAAAAAACCCCATAATGAGTGGTTAGGACAAACTTGAACATGCATTTTCCCTTTAGATTTAAGAACAATTACAGCCTGATTCTTCCTCAATACATTGGGTAGACATTCACCCTCATGCAGCATTGTTTTGACACACTGCCAGTCAGAACAGGAATGCTTAGTACCATCCAAAGGTGGCACTCAATGATCTTGGAGACCTTTTCCAACCTAAAGACTCTGTGGTTTAGGTACAGCTGTAGCACTAGGTGTGCCCCTGGATATGATTATCACACATTAGGGATGGGATATGTGTAAGCAAGTTTCCAGTAGTGCAAGGGTATGAGTTACAGTACAACATCTCATCTCTTCAGCTCCCTGTGGTGCCTCCCTGTCCATGACTCAGGAGGACTACAAGGACATCATGAGAAATTCAGAAGGACCAAAGCCCAGCTAGAAGTTCATTTGGGTCAGTGCCATAAAAGACAATAAAAATGTTCCTATAAATATGTTGGCAACAAAAGGAGGGCTAAGGAGAATCTCCATCCTGGCCTGACTTTGGCTAGAAGATCCATCTTCCTGCTTTGGGCACAAGTGAAGATGGAACTTCCCACTTCAATTCACTCTGTCCAAGGAATAGCCTCCTGACTTCCCATGATACAAGATGATTTAAGTCACTCTGCTAAGTAACAGGTGGCAAACACCAGTGCAGTCCAAATATTCACACTGGTAGGGCTGTACTAGTGCTGTTACACTACTAGGGAACTTCCTAGCTTAGGAATGGTCACTCTGTGAACATTATTCTGCATCCCCCAGTGAAAGCATCTCACAGGTGGAATTAAGGTACTTAAGCAAGTATGGCAAAACTTACATTTCTTATGTAAAATTATTCATACTTGAGTGTGGGACTGAAATAGACTAAGGAAATCATCCTCTAGGGTTGTACACGTGAAAATCTAGGAGTATTAAACTGAGTGAATAAATCCAGCTGCATTCAGCCGTCAGAGGCAGCACATCCTCATGCATCAGCAAACTTAACAGCTACAGCAGCACTGCAAAACCAAAGGGTTTGTACCAAGATATGGACAGTCACGTTGATTCTCTTATGAAAATTCATACAGGCTTACTTAGCTGAAGGTATTTGCTCTGGAATATCAGGTTAAAGCCTTCTCTGCTGCTCTGCTTTCTGTCCTTCATCTTTCACAGCAGTGATATTTTCAGGGTATCCTTTGTATATAGAGGTAATCACAATGTAAATACAAAACCTTCATGTGTGCTCTTAGCTCTGACACAGAAGGAGGAAGGTAAGTTCTTGGCAACCCTCAGGAGAACACAAAGGGGCTGCATATGGTCTGTGGTGTATACACGTGCCAGTCTGGGCTATCTCTGTTCTACTGGCTCTGCCTCATCTCTCCCTGTGTGCAATGAGACACAGCAGCCCCAGAGAAAACAACTGTGAGGCTATAACCACAGCTCCAGTCTCGCCACACAATGGAAACACATTTTGTTTCTCTCTGGAGCCTCAGAGCAAAAAAAGGAGAGAAAACTTGGCCAATAGTATCAAAGAATAGGATTCCAAAGGAATAAACATCCTTGACAAAAACATAAGTTACCAACAGCCAGAAATCAATAAATCCACCCAACAATTAGTTTTGCTAAAAGTATTAGGCTTTATGCCTTTATTTAAAGTCTGGTTCATATTTCCATATTTCAATTCCAATCAACATTTTAAGCTAGATTTTACTGTTAATTTACTAGGACCTCCCTAAAAAACTGGATTTTTCCTATCAATGCAAAGGTGATTGTATTGCTTTTTCCTCCACTGTATATTTTGAAATGCTTTTTCAAGCTGTATTATTTCCTGAGCATTTCAGGCTGTGCTACTTAGGTTTTATGAAAGCTTCTCTTTCCTCCCTAGGCTATACCTGTCAGGTTCAGTCTGCTATTGATGGAGTGCTGGAATATGGATTCACACATTTATTCATGTCTCAAGATTTCCCCTCAGGGAGAGAAGAATGTTGGCAAAGAAAATGAATAAAAACTTGGCTTTGGTAAATGAAGGTTTTTCTATTCATGAGGTCATGAATTTTTTCTTTAAGTCTGAAATCAGCTGAAGCATTCCACAGTCATTCATATGATTAGTGACCACCAGACTTCAACAGAATGAAGCCTGAAAGTCTGCCAAACCAGCATCTGAGAGCTTTTCCTTTAGTTAGATATGTATTTTGATCTATAAGCACTGTGCTCTCTTCCAAGTGAGTGCAATAGATTTGAAAGTGAGAATCAGTTTCTCATTAGAAGGCACTGAAACTTAGGAAAAAGCCAAATACAATGGGATCACCTGCCTGCAAAGCCTTCAGCTTTTTATTTCAGTACATTCAGTGGACCTACTTTTTTTAAACATTTTCAAGATGTTGGTATTATTAGCAGCTGGAGGTTCTTGCTTCTTTCATCACCTTTCATGATGCCACTGCAGGCTGCAGAGCACAGCTGAGCTTTTAGAATGTGCTTCAGAGCACCAGAGGACTGAACACAAGGAGGGACACATTGGGGTATTTTCAAGAAGCGATGGATGAAAGTCCTCCAAAAGCTGGTGTAACACATATTGTCCTCAGATGCAACAGATCAAATTTGAAGGGATGGAGCACCTCTACCTATGAAGAAAGGCTGAGAGAATTGGGATTGTTCAGCCTGGAAAAGAGAAAGCTTTGGGGTGACCTAATTGCAGCCTTCCAGTACCTGAAGGGAGTCTACAAGACAGCCAAAGAGAGACTATTTGCAAGAGCCTGGAGTGACAGGACAAGGGGGAATGGCTTCAAACTGAGAGCAGGGTTAGATTAGGTACTAGGAAGAAATTCCTCCCTGTGAGGTGCTGAGGCACTGGCACAGGTTGCCCAGAGCAGCTGTGGCTGCGCCCTCCCTGGTTGGATGAAGCTCTGAGCAACCTGGTTTAGTGGAAGGTGTCCCTGTCCATGGCAGCGTGTTGGAACTAGATGGTCATTATTATCCCTTCCAACCCAAATGATTCTGTGATTCTATGAAATACAAGAAAAACAATATTGATTTCTGGGGTTTGTTTTTAAACAGAAAAATCCCCATGCCTGCCCATGGAGGTTGTGGATTCACCATCCCTGGAGGTTTTCAAGCTGAGACTGAATGTGGCACTTAGTGCCATGGTCTAGTGACCACGGTAGGGTTGGACTTGATGATCTTTGAGGTCTCTTCCAACCAGGTTGATTCTATGATTCTATGATCTATGTTTTAAAAGATAAAAAGCAGCCTAACACTTTCACAGAATCACACAGAATAGGTAAGGTTAGAAGGGTCCAACCTCCCTGCTCAAGCAGGGCCAGTCCAGAGCACATGGCTCAGGGTTGTGTCCAGATGGAATATCTCCAATGAGGAGACTCCACACCCTCTCTGGGCAATTTGTTCCAGTGTGTGGTCACCCACACAGGGAAGAAGTTCTTCCTCATGTTCATGTGGAACTTCATGTGTATCAGCTCCTTCCCATTGTCTCTTGGCCAATTCCTTGGCACCACCAAGCAGAGCTTGATCTGACACATCCCTTCAGATACTTAAGAAACATCAATGAGGTCCCACTCAGTTGTCTCTTCTTAAGGCTGAACAGCCCAAACTCCCTCTGCCTCTGCTTGTGAGAGACAATTTCCACTCCCTATAACTTGCAGCCAGCTCCATCATTCAGGAGATTGCTTCTAAACCTCCCCAGCATTTTCCAAGTCAAGCACAAGGACAGAAACTTTGAATCAACTTTCCACTAGGCATCAAAGAAACATCAGAGCTAAAATGAACATGAGTGCAAACCCTGAACGATTATACAGTAAAACAGGATAAACAGTTTTGTTGCTATGTTGCGTAGGAGGAAACATAGTTTATGACTGCTTGGGGCTATATTAATTTTTAACTCGGTGGTTTTACAGAACACCAAAGACACATCATTAAAAATGTCTCCAAAATCAAAGTTACTCCCAATTTGTCAGGAGAGGAAGGAAAAAAGATAACTGCCATATGCTCAAATCCCAGTAAGAAAGGAACAGGTTTACTTTCTGGTTAAATTCTCAGAGCTATACAATATAGCTAGTTAATGTGGTATGAAAAAATGTACTAAATTAGTCCCCTAGGCATACAAACTAAGGTCAAAAGTGAATTTGCAGCCAGGAGGACATTTCAAGAAGAATGTTAAATTACTGCAGCAGCTTTTCTACTCATTCTTCTAGCCCCTCCTGCACCCCCGAGCCAAATTTTTGCCTTTAATCTTACATTCTGTTCTTGTCTTGAAATAGCCTGACCTTTTCAGTTATGCTTTTAATTAGCATCTCAGTGTTAGGGATTGCAGCCAGGTGTCAGTTACAGAATTTTTGGGGGGCAGAAGGGTTGTTTGCTTTTTGATTAGCCACAGAAAGCCCAAGATCAGGGACATGAAACTGCCAGAAAGTTCTGACAAATGGGCCCTTACAGGAACAACATCATCCTCCTGCTTCATCTCAGTGCAAGGCCAACAAGGTACAGAGGGCTGTAACCCAGTAAAGCAGTGGCTGCAGATGTTCCAAAGTATGTGTTACTACATCAAAGAATGAAAAAGCATCCAAGAGTGGAATTAAGAGAATAGAAACAGTGGAAAGATCTTGTAAAGTGGGGAGCAGAAGGAGTCAGTGTAGACTTTACTCAGGACATGAACACTTTAACAGGTCAAAAGAGGTGATTCTTCCCCTCTGCTCTTGTGAGACCCCACCTGGAATGCTGCACACAGTTCTGGTGTCCTCAGCATCAGAAGGACATGGAACTGCTGGAGCAAGTCCAGAGGAGGCCACGAAGCTGCTAAGAGCACTGGAGCATCTCCCCTATGAGGACAGGCTGAGGGAGTTGGGGCTGTTCAGCCTGGAGAAGAGTAGATGATCTGTAAGGTCCATTCCAACCCTTAAATTCAATAATTCTATGATTATGAAATGTTATTAGGTCATTCTGAACTCACTGGCAAGAGGAACAGCTGTG